ACATCGGCAGGTCGCCTAAACACCTGAATCATTTTCTACCTAGTGTTTTCCCCATCACATTAGTGCATTGCTCATTGCTGTCGGGAGTTGAGACATGCCAATCATTCTTTTGAAGCGACTAAATGTAGTTCCGTTATTGTAATGCACTTTCTTTTTCTTTTGTGTACTGTCAGTGTTTAGCCATTGATTAAGTTGCAAATTCTGTCCTGGGGAAACTATGCACAGTGGTGAAAGCGTCCAAGACAGAAGTTTTTGCTTAGCTAAATTATTGTTAATTAAGGTACAATTACACACTGAACAAGTATTAATTTAGAAGTCGAACAACAAAAATCAAATTTGTAATTTCAAATTTTCACAGGACTAGTTTCAATGGTTTTACCGAACCATCATTTTGCACTTTTACAGTTGAAGATGATGGTTTTGTAAAACCATCAAAACTAGTCTTGTGAAAATTTGAAAACATATTGCTGATTTTTGTTGTTTGACTTTTAAATTAATAGGAGGTTGTTAGCACTATAGCATTCTACTAGTCATGGGTGAAAGAAACCCATTCCAAGAGAAATTCTTACACACAGGCATTTTCGATGTTTGAGGAAAACAGATTTAGTCCTCTCTCAATGTGAAAGAGTTACATGGTATCTTTGTATCCTACTTTGCATAATGAGTGAAATAACATTCTGGCAGGAAATGAGGAAAGATAGAAAAGGTAAATAACTGAACAAAATCTGATTATTTAGTTTAAAACTAAATAAGTACTTATAAAGTAATTGAGTTTTTTTTTTTTTTTTTTTTTTTTTTTTACTTTTAAACCTTCTATAAGAAATGCTGCAGTACAATACAAATTATTATGAACATAATAGAATTCCCATCATCTGATATATATTGAATTGAATGATATGTCCAAATATGCTGAAACTAAATATGAGACAACAAAGATTGTAATTTAGTAAGTAATTGAGTGGTAATTAAGTATAAGGTATTCCCCACTTCCTAGGTGCCTCGTGGGTAACGTAGCACGCTGGGCCGATATCTAGAGGTCGTGGTTCGAGTCCTGGGGAAGGCGGTGCAGATTTTTCATCTTTCTGCTCCAATACCTAATGACCTACAAGTGGCGGCCCCGACTAAAGGGTTGTGATGATGATTCTCGCACCAGGATTGGTGACTAGTCCCTAAAACCCTAATCGCCTTAAAAGGGAAGTATATAAGGTAGTTCTCCCTTTCCTTGATGCCTTCGTGGTGTAACAGTAGTACGCTGGGTTGGTATTCCAGAGGTCCGTGGTTCGATTCCCGGCGAAGGCGGTTGCATATTTTTCTTCTGTTCTGCTTCCAATTAACCTAATGACTCTACAAAGTAAACAAAAACAGCATTTAATTACTGTTTATTGTGACTGATGTAGTTACTGCATATTGAAATCAATTTTTAGGCCCATAACAATAAGTATGTATAAGTGTATTAGAAAAAAAATTAAGATCTTTATAATATGTAGATGCTGTATAAAAGGATATTAGAAGAAATATTAATACATCTAAATCAAATTCAACTAGTTGTGACAAAAGTAGTGTATGTCATGGAGTAATAATAGTATTGCTAGCATTTCCCAAAATTGTGACACACTTAAAACAATATGGATAATGTAACAAAGCAGACTGTGAAAATATTAATAATTTATTCTGTGAATTATTTTCATGGTATATTACATATATGGAATACAAGCTTAACCATCAAGTAAATTTTAAACATGGTATATTGCATATATGGAATACAGCGTAGTCAAAGATCAAGTAAATTTTAAACTTGGTATATTGCATGTATGGAATACAGGTTAATCAAAGATTAAGTAAATTTTGAACTGCATTGTATAATTATGTTGTTATTTGCCAGTGGTATATATATATATATATATATATTCTTTCAAAAATTTAATTTTTTCTCTTTTTAATGATAAGGAACTGCCACCCAGTAAAGAATCTACTGTCAAAAGAGCAACACGGAGTAGAAGTCGATCAGGTGGTAGAGCTGCAAGGACACAGTCCCGTTCTCCCTCTAGACGAACTCCTGAACGAAAAGCAAAGGAAACAGCAAAAGTTGTTGCATTAAAAGTAGAAAAAAAGACACCATCGAAGGCTGAGAAGAAAAAGACAGACGACACATCAACTTACAACAGTATAAAGAAAGATGAAACAGATAGTGCTGTTAAGAGCTCATTAAAGCGAGAGAAGATTGGATCAGCCAATGAGGAGAGCAAAGAAAGTTTCTCAAAAAGTATAACAAACAGTTTTATGTTTAAGGAAGCTCATGTTGTTGTGTCAGATCTGGGTTCTGCTCATTACAGGGCATCACGTCTTGCTGCTCTGCGAGCATTAGAAGTATTTATACATAATTTATTATTTATGACTCAAAATTTGAGTTTTATTATTTTTTAGAAATGTCTTAATGTGTTTCATTTGGTCTTCTAGACTACCAAGCCTGTTTCTGGTTCAAATACTGAGACTGCAAAAAAAAATGCAGTGCCTACAAGTGAAGCAAAGTATTCTGATGATGAAGAAGAAGAGGAGGAGGAGGAAGTTACTCCAAAACCAAAAACTCGAAGAAGTTTGCAGATAGTATATTTCTTTGGCACAGTTCTAAGAATTATTTTGATGCCAACATCTCTTTTATTTTTAATTTTTTCTTGTACAAAGGTGAGTCAAATTTATTAAGTTATGCATTGTTTGTGAAATTAAATCATTTTACCATTTATTTGATTAATTTTTTGTTCTTAGAATTCTCCTGTATCTAACGCTTCAGTAAAATAAATTGATCTTCATAAGATATATGATTGCCAATTTTTTATGAAATTTGGAAATTCCATAGAAATGAAAAAACTTGTATTTAACAATGTTTGTCCAAATGCCTTAAACATAAGCATTATGAAATATGGCTGAGCCACTAAGGCATTTGGAAGGAAAATGATCCAGCTGCAAAGTGGCAGAGGCATTTTAGAATTGTAATCAAGAGAATAACATCTATCTTATAACTTTTTTATGATTTTAAGTCCAAAATTTGTCAGCTGGTGCTATTCCATATATGAAGTAATGTCTTCTTAAAATCAACATAAAAACACAGTGAAACACTTGAATGATGTTTGCTGTTGCGTATATTGTCCATAATAATTTCACACAGGGTTTTGTACTGTCCCTGAAAATCCGTAGGTTTGTTTGGGGGAATAGTTTTTGATTTTTAAAAATCATTAATTTTGGCTAAAATATGCAAGCAGTCTTTGATTTTGATCATCTTATATTTCCACCTCTTTCCCTTGATTGAATTATGACCCATTATGACTCTGAATTATCAGTTTGTATGAATATAGAATTTGAACCAAGCAGTTTGTAGTGAAACTATTGCAAACTGGCATTATAAATAAAAAGGAACAGTCAGCTGCTCTATCCTATGAGGGAAATTTTGGTTTCTGGATTAATTGTTTGCCCAGCCTAATTGTTATTGATAAGAATATTTTGGACTTAGACCTTGATCTTATGTCCATGCTTTGACTTACTGTAATGAAAACATGACCATCAAGAAATTCTTAACTTCAGACTTTGTGTTCGGCAAGTCACACTTTCTACAGTTATCAATGAATCTGGAAATTCTTCAAGGATATGGGGGAGGGGGAAGATTAATAGGGCACTTGAAGAAAAGGAAGTGTTCTGAAAAAATCTACTTCTACTTCAAGATTTAGACTATAAACCCATATAGTCTAAATCTTGGAAAGGGATACTTTTATATTAAGCCATATTACTCTGCACTTTTTTTGTATTAGCGTATTTCCATATTACCAAGCCACACGATTTTGTTTCTTTAAGGTAATTGTTATCACTAGTTAGGATTTAATTCTGCTATTCAAGCATTGTATTTGTCAAGCATTTTGCATAGTTAAAATCTTAGTTCCTGTAAAAGTAACTGCCAGTTTCTTCTTTTTAAAAAAGTAACTAAATACAAAACTTGTTATTAATTAGTTAAGTATATTATTTATTCATGGTTTGTTAATTCCAGATTAAGCTAAGTACAGAAAGTTAAACAATTAAAACATTATTAAATCTGGCTTTATTATTTCTCTTAACTTTTGGATGTAAGCATTCAGATTGAGAATTTGGATTAAATTTACCTGAGTTGGACACTGCCTAATTTTGGAAAGAAAAGAATGTATATTAATTTTGTAAAGGTTGTGTAATTAAAAATGAAAAAAAGTATGTTTGTGGTTCTGATTAAATTTTTACTACCAGTAACCCCCCTTCAAGTCTGTTTTATTAAACAGAATAAAGTACAGAAGTAGAGTTTTTTTTTTTTTTTTTTTTTTTTGTGTTAACCTTTTTGCTCCTAATGTTCGAGCAAACAAAGTTATTCCATGTGCCGTGACCTTGGAACGTAATGTCACTTTGTTTCTGAGTGCATTTTGCAGTTAAGCCTAACACACTGAAATTCTGCTTTTTGTATAAATACAGTGGCTCCCAAAAGTGTTCATATACTTATGATTTTCATTGAAATAGGGCTCTATCTATTAATTAAAAGTAAACATTCTGAATGAGATTTTAATAATAAGATCTATAATCTGTTCGTAACAAAATTACATAAAATATTTTTAAAATATAGCAAAACTTTATTTTTAAGAAATTAATAATAAAAAAATGACAAACATTTTATCTCACAAAAGTCTTCGTACACCGAAATATTTTTGGATAAAATCAAAATTAAAATTATTGTTTGCCGCTTTTTTTTTAATTTTTGCATTGTGGTGGCATTTAAAAAAACCGTTTGCTTCATAATATTCTATTTATTATTGAAAAATGGTTCGCAGTCTTAAAGAAATTAATTACAAACAGCATTCGAAAATTAATAATTTTTCACCATAATAGTGGTAAATCAATTCAAAATATCGCTAAATTAGTTAATTTATCCCATTCTTCAGTGCAATATGTGATAAAATGCTTTAACACATTGACTGCCAATCACTAGAGTTAGATTGATAGTTATTGCCACCCATATAGAAGTAAATTGTATCCAGATGCCAACATACTTATTATAAGAAATATGATTTAAAAATATTAGTAAAAGATAATTATGTGATACATAAGTATTATTTAAGGCTTTTATTAAAGAATTTTTTAATTGCGTGCCAGTGCGTGATTGGCACTACATGTCAAAATTTTCCCCAAATGCCACATTATGCGTGCTGGCGCGTGGAATGTAAAAAAATAAATTTAAAATAAAGAAAAATAAGTGACAGTACGCATTATTTTTATATCAATATGTATTACAGACAATTATACATATTACAAAGGAATTTTATAACAAGAAAATTACAAAGACATTATTTAAAAAGATAACATCTAGAATCTTATTTGTGTATTATCTTTGAACAATCTAAGCAGTACTACCTGGGAGATCCTTCACAAAACTTGCAAACATATATTGTATCTTTACGTTTCCCTTGGGAATAGCAATTTTTGCATTGCTTTCTTAGAATTTTTCTGTCTTTTTTTTTTTTTTTCTTCCCGTGTACTCAGCACATGTTCAGATTCGGACTGATCACACACCGGAAGCAACGAAGAACAGATGGCTGTTTCAGTAAATTTCGTGTGATGGATAAACGGTAGTCATACAGTGATGTATTTTCATTGGAATACTTATTATAGATAAAGTGGGAATTGTTCATCGTTATTTGCAAAATATGCACAAATAGTTTAGTGAGCCAGCTAATTTTTTTTCTCTCACAAGGATAATAAGCAAGCATCTGATCTTGCTTATCAATACCGGCCATAAATTTATTATATTGAATTACAGGTAGAGGTTTCAATTTAATTTCACCTCTTTTGTTTGTTATTTCTGCCATATCATTTTTATATTCATTGGAAATGTGACATCTGTCTTATCCTGCCATTTTGCAATCATCACACCATTATCATACTTTGCTACAGTTTGCCCTTTCTTCAGTTTTTTTTGTTTACCTCTTTCGGAAATGTCTTTCTGTTCCTTCTGATTTTCCCAGTGCAGCTGTTATAATAATTGTCCATAAATATGCTATGTCCTACATCCAGCATTTCCTCGAGTAAATTCATAACAACTTTTTTTTTTGCATGTACTCTTCCATCAGAATCATCCAACATGCGTGTATATATCATAAATTTCAGAACCATACCATCAGGAGTTGTAATCATGTATAACTTGATACCATATTTGTGACGTTTATTTGGTATATACTGTCTGAATATAAGCCATCCATGCCACAATACCATCGATTCATCGTTTTCCGTAATAGTTGAATCATCCTGCTGACATGCAGCCTCTTTCATGATTCGTCCTTCATCATCATCAGAATCCGAAATATCATGGGTACCAGTCGGAGGAACGAATTCTTCATCACTATCATAACTAAAATCGCTCGGGTACTCATCCGATAGCTCTGCCAACAAATTTGCTATTTCGTCATCCGTAAGAGCCTTTTATATTGAACTTTTCTTTTTTCCGGCGCGAAGATTCTGCATTATCATCTCTATAACTCATACTAAAAGATTATTTTTTTATTAAAAAGTAAAACAATAATTTCGAAACCGCGATTATTTATACGTAGTTTCTAATTTTCACTCCATGCTTATACCATAAGAAATGCCCTGCATGCAATGTCAAATGAACTGGAGAATGAATAACAATTATAGAATTTTCTCATGCCAGCGCGTGACTGGCTGCTGAGACATCACATGCTGGCGCGTGATTGGCTCTTTGCTGATAACAAAACGTCACGCACTGGTGCATGATTGGCAATAAAGAAGAAAATCGGATTGAAAACAAGGTAAGAAAAGGTGATGAGAAATTTATTATTAGAAAATTTGTGAAAAACCCATGTTTGAGTGTTGTAAAACTTTCTGCAGAATTTAAGGCAAACTTTTCTACTTCAATTTAACCTGAAAGTGTTCGACGAGTTCTCAGAGAAGCTGGATTACATGGGCGTTCTGCCCGTAAAAAATTTTTTGTTAGTGAGAAAAACAGAAAGCTTAGGCTTTCATTCTCAAAATCAATGATAAGTACACCCGAAATGTATTGGAATAATGTCCTATTTGCTGACGAAAGCAAATTTAACATTTTTGGTTCCAATGGTCAAATAACTGTATGGAGAAGGAAAAATGAGGAACTTCATTCTAAGAACGTAGTTGGAATAGTTAGGCATGGCGGTGGAGGTGTTCTTGTGTAGGGGTGCATGTCAGCATCAGGGCTAGGTAATTTGGTATTTATTGATGGCATAATGAATCATTCTCTTTATTTAAATATTTTAAGAGACAATTTAAAATTATCAGCCCAAAATTTGGGTATTGGAAACAACTTTATTTTTAATCATGATAACGATCCTAAGCATACAGCTCTCAACGTTCGCCTTTGGTGTCTCTGTAATTCTCCACAGGTTTTTAAAACACCACCTCAGTCTCCAGATTTAAACCCCATAGAACACATTTGGAAAGAACTGGAGGTTAGAGTATGAAAACACATCAAAACAAAAATCGAACTCAAAACAATCATGATGGAAGAATGGATGAACGTTGATACATTAAAAAAAAAAAAAAAAAAAAAAAAAAAAAAAAAAAACTAGGAAAATCTATTCCCAGATGCATAAAAGCTGTTGGGGGTGCTAAAGGATATGCTACTAAATATTAATTTAACAAAAAATGAAAATATTTACTAATATGTCAAGAATTTGTTGAAGTGTATGAAGACTTTTGTGACATGAAATGTTTGTCATTTTTTTATTATTAATTCCTTAAAAATAAAGTTTCGCTATATTTTAAGAATATTTCATATAATTTTGTTACAAATAAATTAGAGATCTTATTATTAAAATCTCATTCAGAAAGTTTACCTTTAATTAATGGATAGAGCTCTATTTCAATGAAAATCATAAGTGTACGAACACTTTTGGGAGCCACTGTATTTGGATTCTTGCATATATTAAAAATAGCATTTCTTCTAACATAAACAGAAAATCATAATACTTAAAATAAAAATTCAGAATAATTTAAAATGCTATATTAGTGTTATTGATTATATTCCAATACTTAAATTATATCTCTACAGAAATGAAGTAACAAAGTTAAGAATTTAAATGTCTGTGATTATTGTATCCTGTTGCCATATCAACTTGCAAATATTTTAAGCCTCTTGCGCTGCGTGAAATTTTTCTAAATTATGAACGTGTTTTACTTTCATAGGATAAAGTAATAAATAATATTCATCACAACAATGTAAGAGACTGTAGAGATTTTATTCCGTAAAATTTTGCAACATTCTGGATGATTTATATGCATTTCATGTTTGAAATGAAACATTCTGTTTCAGTGTATCAAATATGATATAGTAGGCTGTCGGTGACATTTCCCTCCCGCATCACATTTGATACAGTGTGCCCACAGACAAAAACTGAGTCATATCATATACAGTCAAAAGTCGTTAATTTGGACACCCATAATCCAGACCTCAAAGCTAAAAACTTTCTGTGCATGCGCCGCGTCGGCACATGCGCACAGGCGTTTTACGCGTGCGCGTAAGACCTTGACTACTGCGCATATGTGTGTGCGCAAGTGCAGAATACGTTTTCGCCTGCACGTTTAATGTATAACGGACGGTGTAAGCTAAAATTATCTAATTATCTATTTCAGTTAATGTTATAATGATTGCGTTGTTCCTTAATCTTCGAATTGGATCCCGCTTATTATTTTTTGCAGACTGTAAGAGCAATTTTATAAAAGTAAACTTGAACTTTCGATTATGTCAAATAGAATTTCCGATGCTGGAACTTCCAAAGGATCTACAAAACGAAAGTATGTTTCGATGTCCAACAAACAAAAAGTGGAATTGCTGCAAAAAAATGGATAAAGACATGAAGAATGTGACAGAGAGGTTAGTGAAAACGAAAAAAAAAAAATTTCGATTGACAAGTTAGTCGGTATTCTTGGCACAGCAATTAACGGGACTTGAACAGCGGAACTTTGTAACTGAACAAGAAATTATGTCTTTTTATAGAATTAAAGAGAAAGTATTATCACATAAAATGAAGCAACTTAAACAATTTGCATTAAGAGAAATGTTTAATAAAGTAAACAAATAAATATTAAGCTTTTTTTTTTTTTTTTTTTTTTTTTTTTTTGTAAATTTTGATACCCTTTAGATCATAATTGTTCTTTATTTCATAAATTATGGTTTCATATTTTTAATCTTAGAATTTCTGCATGCCATCTTACAAGATTTAAACTGATGATCTATAATCCGGAATCGCCCGACGGACGGATAAAGTCCCGACGAGTCCGGATTAACGACTTTTGACTATATTGATGTGCTTGGAGCGAAGAGGTTAAACATATTGAAATTTTTTTCTTTACTAGAACATATCATTATGATATTAATAATATAAAACTGAGTGATTTATATATATAGATTAAGCCACAAACATAGTATAGTGATTAACAAAGCCAACTGGGCTCATGTTTGAATCCCGGATAAGACACATATGTTTATATTTTTGGAATGGAGGTGCCTAAAATCTGTTTATCCAAAAATCCTTTCAAGAGATCAGTGAAGGGGAATCGGAGACATGAAAACGTCCTTGTCCTTTTTGATCAGAACCGTGTGTAAAACTGTTTTGCACTACTTCTGATGAAAGTTTTTTTTTTTTTTTTTTCTTACAACAATGCTTGTTTATTCCATTCATGATTACACAGGGTGTAACAGAATTGATGATCTCAATTTTAGGGGGAACTAGAGCATGGCAAAAGCAGCAATTTTTTTAAGTGCTAATGCAAAAATACAATAAGTATGGTGAATGAAAAATCATTTTAATCATGGATATTTACAAGAATTATTCAAATGAATGACCACCAACTGTAATGCATGACGAAATGATTGGCAAACTTTCTTAGAAGATACCTAGCATATCCGCTACTTCTGAAGCAAAGATGCTAATTATGGCAAAAAGGTCTTCAGGAGGATCAATCTGTATTTCATGAATGAGATGTGCCATTGTTGTGATGCATGTTTTGCAGTTTTAGGTTGTATATAACAAACATTTTAAATATCAAACATTATTTATTATAAATATCTATGATTAAAAAAATTTTTCATTCGTTATGTTACTATTTGTATTTACTATGTTCCTTCATTCATGGTTCACATTATATTGCGAATTTTTTTGGGAAGGAGCTGTTTTATCACATCTGTGTCTGGACATGAGGAATAACCATGATAATACACGAGCATAACGTAAAAACAATATAAATTATTCTACATGCCAGTAAGAACTTTTTAAAAAAATATGTGGCCTTTTCCCCTTTTCTTTCTTTTTTTTTAGGAGCCTTTATTATAAAGTGTAATTCAGTTATGCTGTTATTTTTTGCTTTACTGAGGAAACTATGAAATAAGTAATTCAAAATGAAATTTGGTTATGTTTTGAAAAATAGCTGCAATTCTATTTGAAAGTTGTTAAGAATATTTTATTTATCATATATGTGTTTGAATAATGTACATAAGTGTTATTATCTTTGGCCTGAAATGTTTTACTCAGTATTATTCCTGTTTCTAAGTTTCATAACTTGCTTGTTTAACTTTTGCAGAAACAGTGCACAGTTCTTGATACGCCACAGTTTTATTCAAAGTGGAGGGATTTTTTCAATTCTATTATTATTCCTCTCTCTTCAGTTATTGCATTTCATCTATTTCAAAGCATTTTAGCTTTAATACCTCTTGGAAGGAAAGTAACTGGTTTCCCATTTGATGCAAAGAAAATTACTTTGGAATATCGCTTAAATGGTTTGTATTTTCTGAAATTATCTTCATTTAAGGTGTGTTTTCTTGTTTAATTTATGTAAATATTTTGAATGGAGTTTTAAGACAAGTACTGTATAAATTAAAAATATTTATGAAAATTGGGTGCAAGAATTACTGAAATCTTACTGTTCTTTTTGCAACTTAACGTTAGTTTTCATAGTGAAAGCTGAAAAGTATTGTGAAAAGTTAATTTTCCTGAGACATAGGGTATTTAGATTTTAAAATCAATTGATAGTGTTAATGCAATAATATTAGATTATTAATTTTATTAAAACATGCTTAACTGAGACAAAAATGTAAATTTACACCTTTATTTTTACATTTTAAAATAAGTGTTAAAAATAACTGACTATATAGAAATGAAAACAATATTTAAAAAAATGATAGCGTAAAAGTATGTTAAATGTAATGTTAATATGTAGAAGTATTTTTGTCATTGTTGTTTTATTATTATATATTTATTCTACCCTAAAAATTTTGCATTGGTTGCCATTGCCCTTTTAAATATAGTATAAGTTTAGAGCTTTTCCTTTTTTACTTAGCCTGAAATTCTTTTGAGTTAATTATTTTCAGCAAATGTCTGAGGTAATTGCCTGGCGTATTAATGCAAAATCATCATCATGCTTTACAAAAATAGACAACAATTTATTAAGAAAAAAAAAAAAAAAAAAAAAGAAATAGTGCTTTGAAATTATTATTTCTAAGTGTACTGATATATGTCTTGTTTCAATTTTTTAATGCTTTGTTTTTGAAAATACTAATTGTGTAGTTTGAAATCTCATTATTAATTTATTTATATGTGTGTAAATATGTAGTAATATGTAAGCAAAGTAAAGCTTCTGTCCAACCATGGAGTAGATTAATAGTACCTAGATTCATTTTCTAACAAATAAAAATATGTAAATTTCTCTTTAGGTTTTCTGTGTCTTATTTTCTCTGTTTTGGGATTCTCGATACCTGCATATTTGGGATTTTACATGAATTGGGGCTATGATAAGTTCAAGGCCATTGGATTGAGCTGTGCTATTTACAGTGTTCTCTTTGCTCTTATTTTGCACATAATCTCCACAGTAAAAGGACATGGAGTTGTGCAAAGTAAAGGTAAGTTGTTTTAATTTTAATGCATTATTTTGAATCGGTTATTTAAAATCTCTATAATTGCGATTTACTCGTGCGAATATTTAATTTTGAATATTTTAAAAGATTTTTATAACAGTTTGTAACAACTATGATAATCAAAAATTGTATTTGTAAATAATCATGCTGTAAGGGTCATCCCTGTTTATAACTTCGCATAAGTTTGTTTTGTTAATATACATGTAAAAAGTAGTAATTGAGTAGACTAAATATGCAGATTTTTTCATTAATCAAAGGCACATAAAATCAGTAACTGTGTTATGTAAAAAATAGTGCATATTTCAGAAAATGCAAGAATTTTTTAGGGGGTAAAAACAGGAAATGGTTTTATAAAATTCTGAAATATTTAAAGAAATGGTGAAAACATTTTCTTGAGTTCTAGATATGTGTATCTAGCATAAATAAACTATAATTTTGTTCACAATCTTAACAGACTAGTAAGTATATGTTTTCTGCTCAGTTACCCAAATATTTATGCATTATGCTAAGTAATATATGTGTTAGGGTATCAGGAAAGTTCTGGATATTTTGAAAATAGATATTAAAAAAAATTGTTCACCAGAATATTTTTAAAATATTTGTTGTAGAAGTATTTCAAAAGCAACACAAAAGTACACTCAGATTGAATAATCCCTTTAAATGTGAGCAGCTTTGATGTATTTTTGAATAAGCTCTTAATTCATGGCTTCAAGCCTTAGATGTAATATAGCATTAACACTTTATTCAATAAATGTACTGTGAAAAGTTATGAGCAGTTTAATCCATATTTTTAATAGCAGTTTTGATTTTGATGATCGGACCCATATAATAGCACTTTGCTGTAACACATAACATGCTTATAAACTATTCTGCATGACCATCTAGAGGTTTGTTATTATGAGTGACATCATGCTCATTCTTAATTTGGTAAGAAAACTTTAGCAATGAGATGTTGTCCACTAATGATGCAGATTGTGTCTTATTTTACTGCTAGGCCAGTACCTGGTCCAATTCTATCATCACATAAAGTTGAATAGAAATTACAAGCAGATGAAAAATGGTGTCTCTGTGTCACCATAAAATACACTTGAATTTGGAGGAAGAAAATCTCATTTTGTTTGCTAAGGAAAAGAGCCATTTATGTTAAATAACATTTCATGCACCCATAGTTCTTTAAGAGCTTTTGTCATTATGCAACAGCATCTCCACCTGTTAACAATTACAGCAACTTGCTGACAAACTCAGATTTGTCCTCAATGCAGTGTTATCTATTTCCTGATGACAGTGGGAAACAAGATGAGACTCAAACAGCTCAGTGGAAGTTAAATGCTGAATGTTAGATTCATCAGCTATATTGAAAGAACTAGAAAAATAATGGCAAACTTATTTAACTTTAGTACAAATCTTTTTATTTACTTATTTATTTATTTCTACAAGTGTGAAGGAGGATCGTGTGCCTATTCTCTACAGTTAATTTCTTGAAATTCTTTTATTATACAGTTGCATTTTCTGAGTAATTAGGACTGAATCTAGATGTTTTTCCTTATTCACTGTGTGCCTAGATTTTGCAGTAACAGACTGCCATTTATTCTTAATGTTGAATTGCTTCTTCACCAGCGAATGAATATCTCGTAGATTTTTATTTTTACCCGAATCAGTACTGCAGGGATGGAATACAAAAATCTGCTTGTCATTGGCAGAAAGACATCAATGCTTATGGTGCCAACATTTCATAATGGTTAAAAAATGCTAAATATATGCATAAATCAACAGACTGTAGATTAAATAAACAAAATAAATATCTAATCTCTGTTCCTAAGACAACTAAAACTTCCCAAACAGGCTAATGAATAAAAATATTAATTTTGATAATTAATGTAGCATCTTTGAATGTTTTCATTGGCAAAATGATTCAGATATTATGTAAATTTCTCTCCTTACCATTTAAAACATCTTTCTAATAATTAAGACACAATAACACGCCGAATAAATACCAATTCAGAAGTCAAACAACAAAAATCACCCTTGCAGTTAAATTCACCCTTGCAGTTAAAAACACCCTTGCAGTTAAATTCGAAAAACTTCTTTTACAGTCTTCCAGTTCAAGTAGTTCAAAAAATCTTCCCATTGTAAACATCAAGCCAATAGTTAATATTTTCTAATGTTAGTCTTTCAGAAGAACAAGAGAGAATTCTAAAATATAATTTTAAACTTCTCACAAACCTGTAAACCCTCGATTCCAAAGATTTTGGCTCCTATCGAAAAAAGCTTTCAAGTTCAGTAAAGTTTCAGATTCACAGAAAGAAATGATTAGGCATCTTATCGCTCATTAATGTGAAATTCAATATAAAACCTTTGAAACCAAAATCTAACTGCGAAGAAAGAGCTACAATGCGCGAAATTCATTCTAACCCGGACATTATCATTTCAAAGGCCACAAAGGTGGCCAGATAGTCGTCCATGGATAAGAACATTTACATCGATGGTGTCACTAAACTCTTAAACGAAGGACCATATAATCCGATCCCTAAGATCCTTCACCTTCGGACTTATCCAAAATAAAAACTGCGATCAACTCTTCGCAAATCATTTCCAAGCAACTTAAAACATTCGCTTTATCCCATCTGTTGCGAAATTGTGCCAGATTATATGCTCTTCCCAAAATTCATAAAGTGTTTCTTTCCGCCCTATTGTATCAAATTTAGGTACTGCCTCGTATCCTTTAGCTAAATACTTAGTTTCTAGATTTTCCACTCTATTAGACAATAACTTTACACCATAAAAATTCAATAGAGTTTGTAAAAAGGTTAAAAACATTTCTCCTAGTAATTACTCATGGTTCCTTTGATGTAAAATCATTATTCACCAATGTCTCAGTGGAGGGTGCATTAAGATGTCTAGAAACCAACTTCGCGAATTTCATTCATTTCTCTTGCATCGAAATTGATGAGCTAATTTTCTCTCACTCAACTCTGTTTTGAAACAAACACATTTTGTTTTCCAAAATAAATATTACAAGCAAACTGAGGGATTAGCCATGGGAGTCCCCTCAGTCCCATCCTGGCTGATATCTACATGCATTATTATGAATCAAAATGTGTTTGAAACTTTAAACTTCCCGGCATGGTTCCGCTACGTAGACGATACTTTTAAACCCTGTTTGAAGGTAATAAAGATGATTTAAATAAAGCTCTTTCAACAATGAATTCTATTGATCCTGCTATTCAGTTCACTTTTGAACTTGAGACTTGCAATTCTCTCCCGTTTCTCGACATTCTGGTCACACGTAACACATCCAACTTCAGTACTACAGTTTACCGTAAACCTTCATCGGTTTGCCTTCCACCACACTTTAAATCATGTCATCCGACTAAACAAAAGTTAGCTTCATTTTATTCCTATGTTTTCCGTGCTCTTCAAGTTTGCTTCTCCAAACTAGCCCTTTGATGAAGAACTAAATTTTTTAAAAGGCAATTAGCTATTGGACAGGGGCTTTTCCACCCAACATTATTAATCAAGCAGTTAAAAAAATTCTCATCTCAACACACTAAAAGCCACACTCTTATTTTAGGAGATTATAAAAATTCTGTTGTTCATTCCCTTCTTTCCATCAATTAGCTATAAGTTGCACATATTTTGCAGAATTTAACTTTCGGGTTGTTTTTTCTCCCATCAATAAAATTCCACTTCTATACTCAAGGACCCCATTCCGGATATGAATTCCTGGGGTATTTATGGATTCCTTGTCAGTGTGGTTTAATTTACATTGGCCTAACTAAGAGAGCCTTAAAATTTCGCGTCAAGAACATGAGGCATATGTTAGAAAAAGGAAACACAGAGGTCTTCTGTTGCTCAACATTGTTGGTCCGAAAATCCCTTTTCAATTTTTCTGCTGCCAAGTTATTCAAAAAACATCTTCGTTGGAGAACTGGATTTTCTAGAAGGCATTTCACATTCATAAAAATCTTTCTGTTCTAGTTAACGATCCTAATTCCAATCCAAATTTGCCTTCGGCTTTTAGAGAAATTATGTTTTAGTTCTGGTTTCGCCAACAGATGGCGCCACTTGCTTATTCTTGTCCAGTCTTTCTTATCTTATCTAATCATTATTTCCTATCTTGTTCATTTGCGGTTTTGCAGCTGAAGATGATGGTTCGGTAAAACCATCGAAACTAGTCCTGTGAAAATTTTGTAGGTATAACGCTGATTTTTGTTGTTTGACTTCTGAACATCTTTCTAAGTTTTGCTGGGGAAATTCTTTTTTTTTAAACCAACTGCAATAATTATTAAGAAAAACAATATTCTCCTAACAGGCAATTTATCGTACTTAACTGTGTGAAAAGGATGAAATATTTTTAAAAAAATTAGATTAGCTGTTTTAAATATTTTGGTGAATTATTCGAAATTAGTATAATTAAAAGTGGGCCCCTAAATTTTATTGATATAGATTATATCAAGAATTTCATTCATATAGTGAATGAAACAAAGAGATAAGACAAAAAACACCCGATTTGTACTGCTATATTTAATTGTTTCAAAACATATGTACAAACAATTTATTGTAAGCAGAGTATTAAAAAAAGAGAGAGAATGAATTTAAGAGAGATAAATGGAACACTGTTGCCACTTAAGATAACAGTTATTTCATTTGCTTCTTACAACTTATAATGAAAATGTAAAAATTATTTATAACAAAGGTTCAAAGACAGCATTTTAAAAACTCTTCAGAAATTCAACATAAAAATTGCATGTGAAAGAAACGGTAAGAATTAAACATTGTTTTTACAAACAAAATAGTCTGGAAAAGAGGTGGCACCATTTAGTATAAAAGTAACTAAGGAAATTCGGTAGCTCGCCAACTGGGACAATACCGAAAATATGCTTTTAAAAACATTTTCAAGAAATTAATTTTTGAGAAAAAGCACAGGGTCCTTGAATCTCTCCCACACTTGCAAAAAACTGTAAAAGGATTTTTTTTACTAAAATTAAATGAGTTTGCTGTTATTTTTCTGATCCTTTATATGTAGTTGATAAATAAAACATTCTCAGTTTGCATTTTTAGTTTCTTTTTGTTGTATTCTTCCAAGATTCATAATATAATCATATAATTTGAATATATAAATGAAGCCTAATTGTTTAGGATCTGTGTTTATATTTCTTTAGTTCCTGTTCTTGGAAATTTTTATAATGGAGTATATATCAACCCGGTTTTGTTTGGGAAAGTGGATATCAAAACATCCTTTATTCGAGCAGGTTTGATTGGTTCGGTGAGTGAAGAAATTTATTATCTAATTTGTATAATGATTTTCATATTTATCTATGATCTTATGATTGTATGCCTGAAAAAATATTTTTTTAAAAAATAATTTAAATAAAGGTGATTTTTATGTTCATTTTTTTAGTTTGCTGCTTTACAAATGCCTGGCTTATTAATAAATATTGTCCATTGATAAAATAACACACTGCATAACATAGTATATCTTGAAATCTGTAAAATGTGAATAGTATTTTTAATACTGAATGGCAAAAATTTCTTTATGTGTAAGTGTGTGTTGTAATATTTCAAAAACATTATTGATTAGAAATTTAATATAAAAATTACATGATTTTTATAAAATTGTAACTTTTTAGACTATTTGAAAAACAGGAACAGGTAAGGAAAAATTTAATATGACTACTACAGAAATTATCAATTGTTGAGCTGCAGTACTATCAGGGTTTAACAAAAGTCTCCCATCACTGCAAATTTCATCTGTGCAAAATCATATTTTGTCAAGCGATTTTTGGCATCTGAAAGAAAGACTTATTTTAGAACACTGTGTTGTGAAATTAAAAAAATATCATCATTAAGTACAAGGTGTCTGAAATGGAACTATCATGCTACCAGATTAGAACCATCATTTACTTCAAGTTCTATTATAAAAAGTCAGCTACAAAATGTCACCAAATCATATGTACAGTACAAAGTCCGAAATCTGGACGTCCATTATCTGGAATGATCTATAATCCGGACCTTAAAACCACCAACAAAATTTTTCTCATAGGCTTTACACATGCGCATTTGATTTCCCCCTCCATGCATAATGAAACATCTGGAGAGTCCCGATTCTTAATTTCATTTTGACACTAAATAAAATACCTTGTTATTGAAGAAACGATCAATTTAGCACAAATTTGTACGATCAGTAATTTGGCTCCGTTGCTGCGTATTTGCTTGGCACACATCTCAAACTGAAACATTTCATATAGATACATCGTTGATCTGACGCCAACGTAGCGAATCATTTATTATACTTTCTTTTAATTATTGCATGTTTATCAAAACATGACAACTTGAGTAATGACTCAAGATGTAGCGATGCCTAAACATTTTTTATTTCATAAATCGCGATTTCATATTTTAAATTTCATAATTTCTACATGCCATCTTACTAGATTTAAATGGTGATCTATTATCCGAAAAAATCCCAAATCTGGAATCGCCAAAGGCCTGACGAGTCCGGATTTTGGACTATATAGCTTTAGGTGCAATGTTGTATCATATGACACTGTGAAGGTTTGGTATCGAAAACTCAAACAAGGACTGGCATTCAAGAAACTAAACACTCTGACCGGCCTACTGATGTTGATGAGAACTTGTGGAAGCAGATCAGTATGCAATTTTCACCTTTTTTTCTATCCTAACTTTGTTAAGAATGTTTTTTGGTGGAAACTTGTATTACAACCAGATATATATATATAATGTGTGTGGAATTCTATACAGTAGAATTTTTAAACAATTTTTGTATTTTAATTTGAATAATAATTTTGCATTATTCATGTTTAATAAGTCCTGTTGACAATATCTAATCCGTTATCTTCTATTAAATTATAATTCCTAATTTATGTACTCTTTATATGCTGCTGGACAGAGTTAAGGTAGAGCATGGTTAGATAGATCTCGTGTTGAAGATGTTCAGAAATTATATTCTGTAATAACTTTTGAAATTCTGTAGCTTTTGTAGCACCGGTGAATGCAAAATGCTGTAGGCAGTTTTTTCTTGAAATGTATTCTTGAAGTACTAATTAAAAAACAGTAGAAAGCTGTTTATGTCCAACTTTTGATGACGCTGAGAAAAGTTGCATTTGACTAGATTCTGAAAAAAATTGCATGCAATTTTTTTTTTTTTTTTTTTTTTTTTTTTTTTTTTTTTTAAAGATTCAGTTTATTTTTCTTTGTGATAGCAATTAAAATATTAAGGCTTTGCATATGGGAATACACAGATTATTACAGTTATTGATTGTTAAAGAGGAATATATCACAATAATCAAATCCATGGTAATATGTATAAATTATGCTTTTAAGATGGATGATCATTGCTAATGATTTTTCAAACCTGTTTGAATTTTATATATGAGGTAAAAAAAAAAAAAAAGAAGTAAAAGGACATACAGTTGGTCTCTCTTAGAGAAGAGCAAGTCTTGAATAAAAAGAATTGTCTGGTGGAATTTTTCTTTCATTTGTAAAATTAGCAATGGATTTAATTTTCAGTTTCCTGTTGAGCTTTCATTGATTGCTCAAGATAGAATCATTGTTCGCTATATTATGTTTTAAAGTTTCAGTAGTTCTAATTATTTCATTGAGGGTAAATTCCTTGTGTGTAGTGGGTGCATGGCTCTACATTTTTTTTTTTTTTAAACTTACTGTAGTTAATAAAACTCTTTGTTTATCTTTAATGATTTCTAAGGAATTTATTTTATATTATTCTAAAGTTTCTCTTAACCCTCTGAGCAACACGGTTTTTGGGATCTGTTATGAAGACCTGTATTTATGCAACATTTATTAGCTCAATTTATATAATTACTTATTTTAGCCTGTATTTTCATAAACTTACATTCATTAAGAGTACATTTACATTATTAAGGAAAGTAAAAAAGCAAAATATCATAAGTTAATAGGCTACTATGTATCAAGTAACAAAAAATCTCATGGCCGGATAAAGCCGGTCATGCCGCTTAAAGAGTTAATACAGTATATTTTTCATCATGCCTGTATAACTGAAACATTTTGAGGCCCATAAAAAAATTATTATTGCAAAAATAACTAACATATTTTATTATTATTCTTTATATTTTAAATTTGTATAATTATCTATTATTTTAACTGTATTTTAAGAGGTTGGCGATAGGAGGAGAAGTTTTACATTCTGTTTCTAAGACTAATCTTCATCAAAATTAGATGAAACTTAAGCAGACAGCTGTTGTAGGTTTTGCATGAATTGAATAGTAATTTATTATCCATTCTATAAAATTGTTGGTATGAAGCTAAAGTTTTAAGAGCTATACGCATTGAAGAAACTGTATGAGAATGCTGTTCATTTGATCATGAACATAATGCATTAAAATTTCATCCAAAATGATCTGAATGATATTTTGCGTTATGAAATTTGTGATGAATTTTAATATAATATATTGTTGGATAGCTTATTTATGGAATAAAATTTGCTGTTGTGTATTATGTATCAAATTCACCTTTGATTAATGCTACAGAAAAGAAATTTACCTCAGGCAGAAAATTATGATACAAAATGGTGATCCTTATTTTGACATTTTGTTTAAGTTCTGTTGTATCTCTTTTTATATTATATTTGGTAATGGTGAGAAAAGTTTCCTTTTTTGAGGAGGGAGAGATATATATCTGATATATTTATTATGCTATAACTGCATTTAAATACAGTCAAAAGTCTTTAATCCGGACCTCAAAGCTACAAACTTTCTGCGCATGCGTCAACGCATAATGCATTAACACATGCGCATAATACCTTTACGCATGCGCGTTTAATGTATGACGGACGGTATAAGCTAAGCTAAAATTATTTAATTATCTATTTCAGTTAATGTTCCAGATTGCGTTGTTCCTTAATCTTCTAATTGGATCCGGATTATTATTTTTTGCAGACAGTTAGAGCAATTTTATAAAAGTAATCTTGAACTTTCGATTATGTCAAAAAAAATTTCCGATTCTGGGGCTACCAAAGGATCTACAAAGCGAAAGCATGTTTCAAACAAAAAGTGGAATTGCTGCAAAAAATGGATAAAGGCATATCCTTTGGTTCTCTAACCATTCCGAAATCTGTTTGTCAATTTCACGCTGCTCTGCGGGGGAAGGGGAACGACGCGGCACGCAGTGAACTGGAAGTTGATCTGTCAGCACTATCCTTATCTTCAGGGCAGATGTTTTTATTTTATTCGGCTTATAATTCCTTAGTTAATGTAGTATTTCATCTCGATGTACTACGCATTGATATGATTAAATCAAATTTCTCGTCATAAATATTACGAATACACATCAAATAGTTTTCTGGTTGCAATTTTCTAATTTCCACTATGCGTAATGTATGCTTTACGCTTGCGCGCATTGAAAGAAATGTTTAATAAAGTAAAGAAATAAATATTAAGCTCCCCCTTTTTTTGTGTGTGTAAATTTTGATACCCTTTAGATCATAATTGCTCTTTATTTCATAAATTTCGGTTTCATATTTTTAATTTTATAATTTCCGCATGCCGGAAAAACCGATAATCCGAAATCGTCGAAGTACCGACGAGTCCGGATTAAAGACTTTTGACTGTAATATGTTATTTGAAAATTGGTGTATTAGTTGATGTTTTGAATTCTTTAATAATTTTCAAGCTTGTAAATTGAATTCTATTTATTTTTGTCACAGGCATTGATAAACCTCAGCATTCTTTTGAAATTATTTTTGATGAAAGGCTATATCACAATTCCCTTGGCTTCAACAGCAGGAATGCAGATCTTTTTCGTTTTTGATTTACTCTTCCGAGAGGTAAGTCATTGTCCATCTCTCTAAATAATTTTTGAAAGGGAGGAGAGAGGTTCATTTAAAAAGATGAACGGTCATCAATGTTTCATTTGATATCTAGTTCTATTAAAAGATGACATGAATTGTAAATAAATTATAATATTTTATTATATCAAATTGCAAGTTCTATAGAATTACTATCTTCTTATTTGGAATGGGAAAAGGTATTATTAAGATAAAGCATAATTTTTCTGTTATGTATATGCTCTATATTAAGTTTTGTGGGGAGACTAGGAATTATGCTTACTAAATTCTTTGCTGAGCAGTTACCAGTATCTTTGTGTGTAGTGTATACATTAGCTTACTCATTTTTTTTTTTAAATTTGTGATGGTATTACTTCAGCTTTGAGAGTGTCTTATTTCATTTTACCTAAATTAATACATCATTGGGCTTTACAGAAATATAGGAATATCAATAGTAACATCATAGCACTAGTTTCTATTGTTTTTTGTTTTTTTTAAAAAAATATCCAACCATTGCAGAAATTGAATCATGTATGATACATTTAATATTTTTAGTATAAATTCATAAACCATTAATGGTATAAAAAATAGAAAGACAAAGTATTGTAATTGTGTGATTAAAATATTTTTCTAAGAAATAAACAAGCTCGTAATAATTATAACTATTAATGAACATGATAAAATGATGTTGAAACAGTTTGTGACAGTGCTAGAGTGAAGCGTGAAATTGATGATAATAAGTCAGACTGAATTATTTCATATAGAATTTAATCCATGAAGGGTTTATAATTTTAAAAAAATCTTGAAAAATTAAAGTATTGTCAAAGAAATTTCGTTGAAATTGTGTGAACAAAAGTGGTCTGCAAATTAAGATGATGATACAAAATAAGTGTTTGAAGTTGATGACACCTCAGTCCTGTCCAAATGATTAATCAACAAGTGGAAAGTACAAGAAACCACATATGTTCAGTGTTGTCTTCAATACAGAAGGATGACAGTCGTCAGGCCTTGCCTCATCCGTGAAATCTCTGAATCCGTGAAATCAAAAATCAGGGAAACAATTTTATTCATCTGAAAATAAATTATTTTAAAAATAAAATAAGACAAAAGAAAAATGTGCTGTTGGCAACAGTTGTGCCCAGTTAAGGAAAAAATGCCAAAAGGGCACATTCACATGAATTGGAGCATGACTGAATCATCAGGTTTTTGGCAAAGCTTTTAATGATTTATTTTATGGTTAGAAAAAAGTAATTGCTTTTCATTAGTATCATATGAAATGTCTGAATTTTTTTAATTATTATTATTTCCTTTTCCAGGAGAAATTGTTAAGCACTGCCACTTACACAAGTGATACAATTGGTTATGGTTTTATAATGACAAATGCCTTTTTGATACCGATTGGTTTAGCATTGCAAAATATATATCTCTTTATTTTTGAAGCAAAAGCAAGTACAATTCCTCATTGGTATTCTGCTGCCATCCTTTGCATATTTTGTAAGTATACTACATGTATTTTTATAGAGCCCGCACAGTTTTCATTTACTGGTATAACATTTTAATGCCACAATTATTTTATTGAAAAATATATTCAGGTTCTTATTTTGAATTTTTGTCATGTGTATTTTGACATATTGGTCTTGAATTAGGATTTTAAAAGTAGAAATTAAAAATTTTCTGGTTTTGAAAGGTATGTCACCTTTAGCAGTCTCAAACTCAAATTGAATACGGGTCACATGCACGACCTAAAAACTGCCGGCGTGTCTCATAAACATTCAAATTTTTTCCAACTAAATTTGAAATAACTAACTGTACTGTAACTTAATTTAAAATTTCACTTCTTAAATACAGTACAAAGTCCCAGATCCAAGCTTTCTCTTTGGGACTTCCGCGATTCTGGATTTGGGATTTTTCCGTGTATTCAATCATGAGTTTTGGCTGTGTAGCGGCCATATGAACTCTGTCGCTGGTTCTAGGTTTATATGAATAACAAATCAGTTATTCTTAATTCAAATAGCACTAAATGTAATCTTTTGACCTATGAGTATCATTAATGATATCTACTTTTAGCATATGGAAAAAAAAAGTTTTTTTGTTAAATTTTTTCTGTCGACATTTCCTAGCACATTTAACTTAAATCTGTACTCTTAATAATCTTAAATCATTGCCAAGTGTAATGTCAACATAAAAGGTTACCATGCTGTTTCTCAATTACTAAAATAATAATAATAAAAAAAGTGTTTAGGTATCCCTCCACAAGTCATTTACTCAAGTTGCCATGTGTTGATAAGCATGCGGTGATGAAAGCAAAATATGATAAATAATGATTCTTCAGGGGTATAAAATATTAGGGGGTGTAAAATCAACGATGTATCTGTAGAATGTTTCGTTGGAAATGTATGAACGACAGCTACAGAGCCAAATTATTCATCATACAATTTTATGTTAAAATGATTGTTTCTTCAGTAATGAAGTATTTTATTTAGTGAAGTGAAATTAAAAATCAGGACTTTCCACATGTTTTATTATGCACCAGGGGGGGAATCAAATGTGCACATACACTATATATATATAATATAATATAATAATAATAATAAAAAGGTTTGGTCCGGATTTTAGATCATTCTGGATATTGGATGTCTGGATATCGTACTTAAAACATACATAAGCAATAATGATGATAATAATGCAGAGGAAGAAAATCAAATTTATCATACTTACTTCCTATCTGTAACAAATTTCTGTTGGTTATATTTTGTATTCAAATGTACTAGCAGCTAAGTATTAAATTCTTGGATTGACAGTTATTTCAAATAATTCTAATCTTTTGAATTAACCATTAAATAATGTAATTTGAACATAAACTTAAAATGCACAAATTATGAAATTAAATTTATAGAGAAAACTTCCCCAGTGGATCAAAATTTGAGAATAAATAACAGCAACTTTACTTTCTTTTATGTGTTAAATTTTTATCAACACACAGAAAAAAATGCGGGTCCGAGACACGTAACTGAAAACAGTTAGCTGACAAGGACACTTACCCGACAGTACATTTGGTCGACACAGAAAGTTAGCCGTCAGGACAAAGGGACACTTAACTGTCAAGACATTTAGTCAACAGGACACAGCCGACAGTGACGTTTAGCTGACATGTACCCAATAATTATTTAAACTTACTATGAATTACAAAATTTCTCGACTTATCCACAAATTCAATATTCAATAAATCAAGTTATTTTTTTCATCTATCAGTAAAATTCATTTTTCGATTCTTAAAAGATCTCATATGTGCTTTTAATCATTGAGATAATTTAGCATTGTTTGATATGTATTGTGCTGTTTGGTGTATATTGGCCAAATTGAAGAAGCATTGAAATTTCTCGTCAGGAAATATGAATTAAATTTTGAAAGGGAAAAAATTTTATAGCTAAGTACGGTGGTCACTTAATTCAAACATTATCTGTAAAGCTTCTTCATTTAATCAACTGGGTTTCTGTGAACACTTTCACGTCATTAATAATTTTTGTTTACTTAATGATATTAATTTTCCAGTCTCACTCTTTCAAATGCTTTCAAATTTCTAATACATTTACGATTTATTACTATTTTACTCAATACATCATGTTACATTCTTTCCCTTACAAAATCGTTTCTCTCCTCCCACTAATGAAATTTCCTTTCCCTATCCCTTTCGTTAGGCAAATAGCCCTCTGGCTTTGCCGTAATTACATAAACCAAACCTTCTTCTGTTAAGTGGCTGTAGACCACAAGGTATGAATTCCCATGCCGGAGCCCTATCTCAGATTGATAAATATGTGATGCCTAACCTGTAAATAACATTCTGAGGGTGTAAATAGCATTTTAGATGAAAAAGTAATTCCAGTGTGGCAAGGAGTAGGGCGAATCATTCTACTTCCTAACAGGGAAAGGAAATTTCATTAGTGGGAGGAGTGAAACAACTTTATACGAGAATGAATGTAGTGTGATGTGTTCAGCAAAGTAGTAATGAAATGTGAAAGTATTAGAAATCTAATAGCTTTGAGAAGAGTGAGACTCATTGTCAGCTTAATGTCATGTTGGCTAAGTGTCTGTGTCAGCTAAATGTTTTGTAGGTTAAGTGTTCCGTTGGCTAAGTGTCCGTGACTGAAAAAATGCATACGTATCCAATAAGTACATAAACTGGTGTCATAAACACTATATTTTATGAAATTAGGGTACTTAATCTTATTCCTTTCAAAATACTCTACATGATTCATCACCAATGCTGACCTATCAAGGAAATCGGATGTTTGAACAGAGTTTTTCCAGTCGGTGTAACATTCAGTTCTTCTCAGCTTTTGGTTAGGTGTTAGCAACTTTGGGATAATTTTTGGATACAATTTTCTCATCTCCAAATGTTCTCTTAAATCTGTGTGTGCTGATGATTTTCCTAAGTTCAGTTGATAGCAATCGTCTGGGTAGTTAATCAACAAGTGGAAAGTACAAGAAACCACATATGTTCAGTGTTGTCTTCAATACAGAAGGATGACAGTCGTCAGGCCTTGCCTCATCCGTGAAATCTCCAGAGCCTTCACCGAAATGCTTGATTCACTTAAAGAGCTGTTTTCTTCAATGCATTGTTTCCATAATCACCCCTCAACATTTCGTGAATTTTACAAGAGCTTTTTCCATGTTTCACCAAAAATTTTATGTCCATTCTTTGTTCCATTTGATCATTGATATTCATAGTCGCCAAAGGGTGGGGGAAGAACATCATAAAAAAATTTACCTCTAGCTCTACACTTGTCTTGACAGTCTGCCATTCCACTGTGTCCCCTGCCAACAGAGCAGCAAGTGTGCATGGCCTAACTTCAACTCAAGGTGAAGTTGTGCTGTATCTCTAATGTCATTTCTCTCATTAACTGCTATTGAGAATGTTAGAAAAATACTAATTTCACATTTATCTTGGAAGAACACACCCTTTTTCTATCACTTTTCTTTTACTCTTTATTATAGGCATGCCTTGCATTTTAATCTCTTCATTAAAATCACAGTGATAATTTTATTTACAACTTTAATTCAGCAAGATAAAATTTCATGTGAAAGCAATACTCAGATGTTTTGCACTATTTCAAATAATTGGTATTGTATAACATAGGTCCAGTGATGAGCACAAGTAACAGGTTTTACAAGCTGTGTATTAGTTTGTCTCTGTCAGTTTAGCAATATGAATTTCGTAGCTGTACATCCAGCTTACCAACTAGTAACTGACTCGAAAATAAATGTACCAACTTATAAGTGAAAAGAGGGAAGGGGGAAAAGGAATATACTAGAATATAAAATTCCTACCAGTTGTTGGCTGGTGAGTTCAACTAGTAACTGACCCGAAAATAAATGTACCAACTTATTAGTGAAAAGAGAGAAGGGGGAAAGGAACATACTAGAATATCAAATTCTTACCAGTTGTTAGATGACAGTTTCAACTAGTAACTAACTTGAAAATAAACGTACCAACTTATTAGTGAAAAGGGAGAAGGGGCAAGGAATATACTATAATATAAAATTTCTACCAATTGTTGCCTGGCGAGTTAATTTATTGATTGTTACTGACATGACCTCCCACCTTAGCTCAGGCAGCTCAGCATGTAAGCATACAAAGTTTATAATTTTTTTATTTAACTGACATAAATCTAATCATTTTATTTCTTCTTCATTCAATAGCTTATAGAATTCCTCACTCTTATTCTGAATAAATGCCGACGTACCTAGTGAAATTTGTTAACAACTTATCGCTGAGTTCAAACAACTAAGAGGGAGACTCAAGAATGGGTAACTACCCTTTGTTTCACTCAAAATAAGATGAACAGTCGCCCCTTCCTTGAGATTACAACAAAGCCTCCACTCAGGCTTGAACTCTAAATTAGAACTAAGTGTAACTTGGCCAAAGCTAATACAAATCTAATGTAGTTGGCCCTGAATTTAAACTAGCCGGCGAATATCAAAAGGCACGTAATCATACGGCCGAGCGTAACAGCTTCAAAAGAGAGACTTAGCCCGAAGGCAAACACGTGCTGCTCAGGATTCCTAGCTCTCTCTCTCACCTTTCTTAAATACTTCTTCTAACTCATTTGCATTCAGCACGATTCTAAAAACTCATTCTGGTAGTGAGCTATAAGTTGAAACAAGAATCGATAGGAAAGCACATTGAAATTAAAGTAACTGTTATAAAATTAAAATATACTTTACAAGCTATTATGTGTATACACATAATGTGTATCTCTCTGTTATTTATATATTGTCATTTCTTGAAATACAGTGATTCATGTATTTTTTTATCAGTTGTTATATTTGTTACATACGTATTTTGGGCTGTGTGGAAACTCGATAGCTAGGTAATGATTATTGAAATTAGTGTTTTTATATTTTCTTTATAAACATTATGTTGCTGTATTGATGCAATATGTTGTATTGAAATATATAATAACTATATTAAAACAAATTCCTAACTAAAATGTTTGGCAATCTGCATAAAATTGTTTTGGGGGCACCAGTTTGAGACAATGAACTACACCACTCTTGCAGAATTTGTGTGAAATACTCCACTAAGTATTTGATAAGTGTTCCAGATTTCTTTTAATTTGTGTATGCAACTAGTTATGTATGTAAAAGTAATTGTTTAAATCAGGGTTTCTTAAAATGTGGGCCTGCAGCAGGGGGTTGCCAAAAATGTTAGCAGTTTTGATATTTCTTTAACCTATTATAATAATTTTACTATTACCAAATATTTTTACATAATGTATCTGAAAACAGATAAAGATAAGCCAATACAGGCAAAGAAAAAAAAAATGTTTCAACACATTATTTTTATAATATAAACGTTTATTTTCCTTTCTTTGCACATGACGCTGTCATCTCGTCTGTTACTTATTTAAAATTTTCACACTATGTTTTATGCCTTAAAACTAGAAGTAAGAGTTAATGACCTAAAACTGCAACGGTATGTTACAGTACAAGTGAAAAATTTGGCAGTTTCGCTCATGTGCACAATGCTTATGGGGTCCCATGAAATTTTTGTAAATATTATGGGGTCGCGACTGAAAAAAGTTTAAGAAACCCTGGTTTAAATTAAGATATAACTAAATGAAGTACTTATTGTAAAAGACAATTTACCAGTGTATGTGTACTTAATGAGATTCTTTCCAAAACTGCCAATATTTCGCTGATCTGTGAAGAAATTCTTGTTATGAAATGTTTTGTTACTTAAGTTAAAAATAAGTTAAAACATATGTTTTTAGTGACTGGCTATTACATTTACTTGACGTCCAGCAATCTGAAGCACAATTTCCGAAGAAATCCCTTCAGCTCCTCTTTGGCAGGTATATTTAGCTTCTCAATCTTGTTATTTTGGAAAGATGTAATTAATTTCCTAGCAGATGTCATTTAGAATAAAATTCATGGAAAAACATGGATTAAAATTTTAAAATTGTCTTAAAAGTTAAAGGATGGTTGAAAATTAGTAATTAAAATAAGAAAATTATGGAATGACATTTTTATTTAGTATGTAAATATGTGGTAAGAATCTTATATATCCATGGTTTCTTAAAATTTTTGTGACTCACCAGTGGCTGAATAGTAAAGCTGTTGAATACTGGTAGTTTGACCCGGATTCTTATACCAGTAAACAGACTGGTATCATGAAAATTTTCATGGTTTTTCACATGTATAGTGGTTTTCATGGTTTTTCACATGCTAGTTTCCTTTTAAAAGTTCTCTAAAAACATCCCTCTTAGGTAGATAGCTCTTACGGTGCTGTGCCATAACCCAGCTGACCCCTGTTAAATTTTATGGCTTTGTGTATTTAGTAAACAATAGAATAATATTTTTGAATGAGTTCAGTATCACTACTTTTGAAAGACGTTCATGTTCCATTATAAGTACTGAATGATTTTTCTATTAAAAATTTAAATCAGTACTGTTTTAGCATCAGAAGTTTAATTTTTACATATCTAGTATTTTTTATCATATTTTTAAGAAATGAAAAAAAAAGTAATATTAGCTAATTTTAAACTTTACAAGTTTTTTGGAGACTATCTGCGTATAGTTCTGTAAGTAATAAGTAACAGTTATTACTTACCTGATAAGTAAGGCACATAAATAAAAGCAAAATCATATTTGCATATATTTGTACTGGATCAACCAATAATAATTTGTCAAGAAGTGCTTATATTTTCAATAAAATTTTGTAAATATTAATTGCATTTAATTGGAAGTTGTTTCTAATTCTCGAGCACATTTAATGCAATGATGGTAATTAAAATATTGTGTAAATTCAAATTCACAGATTTGAGGAAATTTTTATAATTTGGCAACCGTAGAATTTTAGCTTTAGCATCTGTTTGTGTCAGTGCAATAAAAATGTGTTATTGAATTCACACAATATTCTAAACTAGTTTGGAAAGTTTTATGAGAGAGTTTGCTTTTATCGTAGACGTAGTTGTTTTATTAAAAAACTCATTGCCAAGTATATGAAAATTAACTAATATTTTGAGGATTATGCCCTGCAAATTTTGTAAATGTGTTTAACATTTTATCAAATAATATCAGTTTTCTTTTATGTTGCTTTCTCTTTTGTTTGCCATTCTATCCATTAGGGGTCATTTTTGTGTTTTAAAGATCCTTAAATCTCTTTAACCTCTAAGTGGCAAGGCCATGTGTATATGGCCTAGAATATCACTACACCATTGCAGCAAAGGGGGCAGTCAGCCTTCTTTGCTGCAGCTATTTCAAATCAATCGAATTGGAATTATCAACTATTTAGAATCTGTGAAGGTGTGTATATAAACAGTCATGCGTTGTAGCTAGACGAAAGGCAACTACAGCACTGCTTCTGGGGGTAGTCTGGGAGATTAAGGATGTCACCGATTCAAAGTTTATTTCTTGTTCTCTCTTTTAGTTGTGACAGTTGCTTGGTCTTGAGGGCCATGTTGATTTAAACCGACCTGGCCATTTGAAACTTGAATAATATTTTCGCATCTTCTTTTGACCAGCTCATCTGCGTTTCATTTCCAAGAAAGCCACAATTTACTGTGGAACAACAATTTTATGTTTTTCATGCAATTCTCATAGTAGGACTACATTGCATTACAGATGTTGAAAAAGGAGCTTGGCAATTGTAAGCAATTCCCAGTATTGCTGTTTGAGAGTCTGAGAATATGATGAACTGTTCAGAAAGAGAAGGATAAGCATTTACATAGGTCAAAGCAACTTTAATCATAATTCAGCCTCCCCATCGAATGCGGTCTTGTCAGTTCCCAGAAAAAGATAGTGTGAGAAATGCTCACAGAAAATTCCGGCTCCTAGAACACCATTTACATCAAGCTTTGAGCCATCAGTAAAGATATGCAACCAAGCATTGAGAGGAAAATGCTTATAAATAATTCCCATACCCTACAGTACAATAGTGAGTCTTTGAAACATGGTTCAAAAGATCCAAAAACTAGGAAGTCATTATAACTTCCAAAGGGTTAGTAGGTGGTAATAATGGTGTAGCCTGAGTCGAAATCTTAAGCCCATCCATTTCTCTCGAAGCAGCTTGCAGGAAGCCATCCTGACTTTTCAGTCTGCAGAGGCAAAGCCCAGAATTAATCTAATGTCCAGTATGTGGTAAACATATTAATTTTTGATAAAGCTTTTGCAAACGTTTCAGTCTATTCATTCTTTTTGGAAAGACCATAATGAGTGAGCATTGCAATAAGTCATTACAGGTTTTATGAAGGTCCTGTAGGTAGCAAGTTGAGGTTGCACAGCCCCATCTAACTCCCACGAAACATTTGAGCAATGACATATGCGAGGCCAATTTTACATGCACCCGCAGCACTCCTTAAGCTACACATGCTCGCTGGGTGGTGCTAAATGAGTAACAGGTTTGCAACCGAGATTGTTTTCTGAATCAAAATTAGATTAGTAAGTAATTAAATTAGAAAGATTACTTATTGATTTTCCTTTGCAAATGCAGCCTCTGTCATGAAATTGTGAATAGTAATGATGAATTGCGTTGTTATTCAGCGCTGTCTGTTTGTATTTCGTTCGAAAGTGGCACTGAACGATGATAATAGACTAGCTTACATGATACTCAAGCACACAAAATGCTTTCTGCTGTTGCATCGTCATGTTGCAAAGGCATCACTGAATGCAGGGTCTTCTTCCTTTGGCCTCATATAACTCATCCTTGATGCTTACATCAGTTGTGCTTATGATGCTATTTATTAGTGAAATATGAGATTACAAACTGCTGTAATCTGATATAATTAAATAAATAAATAAAGCTTGTAAATCTTGGAGTGTATTTTGACATTTAACATTCAACTGTTGAGATTATGTGTAATCTGATTTATGTGTTTTCCATTTTTCTCTCATGAGAAAAATATGCCTGATTGGAATGCATTTGTTATATATAACTTAATAATGTAATCTTAGTTAAATATTTTATTTTATTTCATTTTTAGACGTGGCGTCAATTCCAACAAGTCAAAAAAAAAGACTTATAGCATCTGGACTTTGGGGAGTAATTCGTCATCCCAATTACTTGGGTTTGCTCATAATGGCAGTCGCATGGACACTTCCATGTGGTGTGTATAAAATAAGAATTTTATGTTCTGTGTATTTTTTTAGTGCTTCCTATCAAAACAACTAACATTTCTTAAGCTTCTGAAATCATAATGTATAGTATAAATAATTTTTAATGTAATAACAGAGCTGTTGAAACATGAGCAGCTATAGGTAAACTATAAAATTTCTGTTGATTTTATTGAGTATTTTTAAAACACTTTGTGTGGGAGTTCTATTGAAATACAAAGCATTGTGTTCAGCTATTCAATGTGTACAAGAGTATTACATTAAATTTATTTATTGTAAATGTGATAGGAAGCTGTTTTTTAAATTATGAGTTGTAAAAATTCTTGATTCTTTCCCAGAGTGCCAGAAGTCTAGCATTTGGATTTTATAAGGTTTACTGTATTATCCTGTGGAAAAAATTTGAAATTCTGAATGAATAATGGAAATAATTACAATTCTGTCATTTTGTGTATGTATCTCCATGTTCAAGCATTACTAGTTCATTAGTATAGTATTTACTTTTAAAGCATAGTAGAGCACGTCTATTGTGTTAGTAAATGCTTTATTTTACTAATATTAAATAAATGAAATAAAAGATAAATTAAGGTGAAAGAGAATAGTACAGCTGGTAACCTCACAATTAAAATATCGTCCACAGGATTCATGTAATGATGAACATTTCTCACACACTATCAGTTCTAGAGGCACGTAGGCTCTTGAGAGAATACATTTGTTCTCGTAACATCCACGGCTAGCTTTGGATAATATGACCAGCTTGGCTACAAGGAACTTGAGCATCGAAGGAAACCAATAATACCGATTCAAAACTGTATCCATTTTTTTTTTTTTTTTCTTTTTCTAATCCAGAGTCTTCAGAAATTGAGTGCAGTTTACTTTCTGTCCCCACTTTAGAAGGGCATTTGACAGGCTTTAATATTGCACAGCTAATTATTAAAACTTTAAAAGAAAATGCAGTCCCTCTCGATAATTGCTTAGCTCTTAGTGCCGATAATTCACCAGTATTGGTAGGCTTGAGAAGACTGGTGTTGCAGGCATCTTAAGAAAGGAAAATTGAGATTTGCAGATTATGAGATGCACCTGTCACCTCTTAAGCGCCGTTCCCACTGGGGTTTATCTGAGCTAACGGAGTCAGTTCCCCTGTGTCGACTAGCTCCGCTGTGCCTGCAGTTCAGATTTTTCAACTTGCTGCTCTCTATGAGGAAAAACTGGTTTTGGGGATGGGTCGACTATGTTAGTTGTGTTCGTTAGCTCAGATAAACCCCAGTGGGAACGGGCCTTTAAATTTAGCAGCTGAAAAAGGGGCAGCTTCTTTACCAATAAATGTAGATGAACACATTGTTGATATTTATTATTATCTTGAAAGGAGTTAGTTCTAAAAGGAAGGAAAAATTGAAAAAGTTCCAACAGCTGCATAACAGCAGTTTACAATTAGAAAACTTGGATAAAGTTATAAAATCAGCTAGGATTGACACCCAGTGGAGTTTAATTGGAAAACTGAAAGATGCTGATGGAATTTTAAAATATAGTGAACTGCCTAGAATTATGTTGGCCATCTTGACAGTTCCCCATAGTAATGCAGAGTGGGAGAGGATTTTCTATGTTGTTGCGAACCGAGGACTAAATTTAGATCTAATATTAGTGATGACACATAAGAAAAAATTTTATTAGCGATAGCAGGCCTACGTTGCAATTGCTATGAATAAAATTATGAGGTTTCGTTCTTAACGAAAGCAAAACCTGCCACTGTTCATAACATTTGTACAAAAAACTGAATTTTTTTTTTTTTTTCGATGCAAGTAATAAAAATATTTTTTATGTGTAAGGTATTTTTATGATGCTTGCATTTAAGAATTAGTAACTATTTAAAGTTAATTGCTTATTATTTAAAACTATATTTTTATTATTTAAAAAGTCTTTTTAATATTGTGAAAAATCTCCTGATTTTTGAGTGTGATAGGTTGGCAAGTATGTAAATACCATTATGTGTTACGAACGCGGTGTATTCTGTGCACTTTTCATATGTGTCTACATGGAAAAAGCCATTTTTCAAATCTAGTGTCATGAAGAACTTTGATTGTTCTAAACAATCAAGTATTTCTGGGATTAAAGGCAATGGAAATTTGTCTTTAATAATCTTATTTAATTTCCGATAATTTATGCATAACCTCTTGGAAAAGTCCCTTTTGTTACACAAGACTATACGCGCCGAATAATTAGAATTGCTAGGCTTTATTATACCCTCGTTCAACCATTCTTTAATTTGCTCAACAATTTTTGTTCCAACAAAGACATGTATCTTCTATTTTGAAAGACAGGAATTTCATGGCATAAATTTATTTGCATCTTGAAGTCAGATTGCTTATTCTTCCGAGGCTGATATGAATTAATTAATTTACACAGTCTTTCTTTATGTTCCACATTCGAAATATGCAATAAAGCAATCCCGTTGACAGAAATAGCATTCACCAGATATGAAGGGCAATTAAATTTCAAGCCACGTCCGCTTTCGGGATTTTTTGTTCAGATTAAGAGATTATAGTTTAAGGCGATTGCGAAAGATCATAAACATTCTTCAATGACATACCAATATTCAAATTTCCCATAACGCAACGAACGTTAGCATTTCGATATGACTCAGCAGTTATCAAGTTTACATTACTTTTATTCCGATGAGAAATTATTTGAAGGCCATTCTCCGTAGAAGAGAAGTTAAACTGATTCATTACGTCAAAACCTATTACAATTTGATTACATAATGACTTAACAACAAAAATTTTTGTACGAAGTGAAAAACAGAAATAAAAAAGCTAATGGTATACGTTTGCTTTGATTCAATTCCTTTTAATGTGATATTGCTAAGATTTAAACTTGGAGAACCAATTTGTATATGTAACTCTACACTTCATAATGTAACATCTGAACTAGTGTCAACTAGAATATCAACTAAATGATTATTTATTTCTATAGTCTTCATAATTCTACTATTATCAGAAATATGCTGCACTTAATCTTACTTCTCGCTGTTCTGGTTTTGACAGTCAGTCGATTTATGCCCAAATTTTTTACATTTAAAACATTTTATCCCACTCAATTTGTTTATACACTGAGACGATTTATGACCAAATTCCTCGCAACTAAAACATTTCACTTCAGATTGATTTTGGTTTGATGACGCAGGCTTACTTCTATCTTTAATATGAGTGTCTACTTTTGGTTTCGAATTTTTAAGCTTATCATTTGTCCGATCTCATTCTATCATAAATTTTTAGCTTTTGTTTAAATTCAGATATTGTTTCGCAACCATATATTATAGTTTTCCTCACCACAGAATCGAGAATACCATCTATGCCACATTTAATTACTGAAGCATCTTCAACGTTACCTCGCGAACACATTTCTTTCATTTTCAAAAAATAATCATCTAAAGATTCATTAGGCATTAATTTACGCTTACATAACATTTCATGCAATTCAACTGAATTAAAAGCTTTACCAAATTCAGATTTCAAAACCTTTTTTAACGTACACCAGTCATTAACATTAGGTTCACTCTGTATAAATAGTTTTGCTTTACCTTTTAATGATCTTTTAGCAAAAACTAACTTATGCAAATAACTCAGTTTCAAAGAATTTATGACATCTTCAAATTCATCAATCCATTTATCAACATTTTCATATGCTTTACCAGAAAAAGGATTAACAATACTTTCAATATCCGAAAAACTAAGATGAGGTTTAAAATGATCTTCAGTTGGAAGCTGCATACTGTTATTTACTTGAGACTCATTAAAACTAGGATTGTCTCTTTGATTATCATCAAGCATTACTTCAAGCAAATTTTATTAACAGTTTCCGTCTTCATATATCACTATTTTCTTCATGCAAAATATTTTACAAATAACTACAGATAAATCGCATAGAATAGAAGACAATTCGGGTTACTACTTCCGTTTTCGAAGAATTTATACATAATACATTACAAACTTTAATTAATTTGTTCAAAGAAAAACTATTCTGCACAGTATCTATTTTCTTATTACCGTATTTATGCGAATCTAATGCGCATCCCCATTTTAAAACTTTAAATAATAAAAAAATTGTTTGCCGGCGAATGTAATGCGCATCAATGATATGAGGAATTTATTGAATCTTATTTTATACAACAATGGATTTATACATAAAGTAGCAGAACATAGAATTAACCTATTAGTGGGCTATTGTCATGTGAAACAATCATTGTTAATTAGCACTACCATATATACGGTACCTATCGTAAAATATGAACATTAAATAAATCGTAACATTTCTATCTAGCTAACAGTTTCTACAATCAGTGATTAATAGTAAACGTCTTTATTCACTAATGTTTTCATCACTGGAATCCTCGCAGCTCTCTTCGTCAGAAGCAGATTCATTTCTTCATTCCTCATCATCGTCATCGTCATCCTCGGCGTTCCAGAGCACGTCATCGTCACTGCCATTCAATGAATTTGAAATGCAGCATTTCTTGAAAGATTTCACAATTATTGGTGCTTCAATGCTTTTCCAGGCAGCAGAAACCCAGTGTGCAACAATGTGCGGTGCAGCACGCTTAATTTTTTCATGTCGGGGTCAATACACGGTTTGGCTCACAAAACCATTTTTCGTACTCCGCCTGAACGTTCCCCTTAAAAGGTTTATTTATACTAACGTCCAGGGGTTGTAACACAGACGTCATCCTCCAGGAATGATAACAAGATCACTGCCTAGGCTTGTATGTACATCTTCTTTTTTACATCATCGGTGAGATGACCACGAAATGCGTCCAGACAAAGCACTGATGGTGGATTAGAGAGCCCACCGGGACGGCGTTTCCATACATTTCGGAGCCAAATCAAGCATTAATGATTCCGTCATCCACCCCTTCTTTGGTTTCGAATCAGGACATTATCTGGGAACAGCTTTTCATTCTTAGGGGTTTTAGGGCATGTTTTTCCGTTTGAAGATTAAGAAAGGGGGAAGCTTGCACCCGTCTGCTCTTATTGCCAGCATCACTGTTACGCGTTGTTTTTCACATCCCGAAGTTTTGATGAT